ATAATAGCGTATTTTTTTCAAAAATGCGCTAAAAAACGCTCGCTCTCCCAATTATTAACTATAAATCATGCATGCGAATGCCAACAGAGCCAACTTTTTTATTTATGAAAGCATTTAAATGAAACTTGATACATAGGCACTTGGAATAAAGGAAAATCAAACGCCAGTTTCAAAACTTAGATTTGCGCATGCGCAGTTCCAACTTTCTTATTTAGAAAAGCATTGAAATGAAATTCTTCTTATAAACTGAAATTGAAGTAGCACGTCAAAAATGGATTGCACATGTGCAACGCTATCTTTCATATTTGTGGCTGGATTTTTACGATTTTAACAGAAGTTGCATCTTACAAATAGGAAATGAATGCAAGTGGAAATGCGCTTTTTGTAAATCGTTTACGATTACTTTTTAACTTGTTGTAATCTGCCCAGGTATGAGAAAGCAGTCGAATAAGCAAACCAAATCGAGTAAGGTCAAGAATAGCACCCCTGAGACGAAACGTCAGTCAGTCAGTAAATGTCGAAAACAAATAGCCTATTTTTTGGAACCTTTTACGAATATATATTTTTTTAATGGCTGCCTTAATTTTTTATGACTATTCTTTCCGAAATGAAAACTGCTGTGATTTGCTGAGCTTGTTCCAACTCGCACTGTATACCTATGTTTCAGAGAAATTTAATCACCGCCAAGGTTTTGCTTTACTTATTATTTTCTATCCTTTTGTACATTTCTATCTAAAGAAAATAATTTGAGTGGCGCTACCACAATACGTATAGTAAGTGATATCGATTTACATTTATTGTATTTACCTCATAGTTGTTGCTTGTTACTATAACTTTAAAAACGAACAGCCTATTAGTTTACTCATTCATTCTCTTTTTGGCAATCTAATTTTCACCAAGAATTGTGATGAAAATAAGCAAATTGGCTTATATCTTTGTTACTACTTCCAAGTATATTAATTTTGAGTTAAATTGTATTGAATTGATCTACTTGAATCCAAGATGTTACAGGAAAAAGAAAAATTATTGATTAAAACTCGTGACATTAACATCGTTGTGCATTTAAGGACATGCAGGTAATAAGAACTTCCAAGTTTCTGTCGTAGCAGATGTAGCTACTTACATGGTCCGAGATGCGTTATCAAAGGCGATGTAAGATAAGGGTGGGCAACCGACTGTCAGTGCGTTTGCGTGATACGATTGCTCGATTAGATAACATATCCCGAGCTTTATGCCAAGGTATTCACTAATCTTTTGTGTGAGACCACGTGAGATCTTGCTTGGGTCGTCGTACACGACCGCGACACAAAAAGCTGCTATTGTGCCCGAACATTTAACAGCGGTGTGCACTAACAATCACGGTCTACAATAGTTGTTCGATCTATTACAAAAGTACTAGATAAAATCTAATACCGCTGAGATTGAGCTTTTCAATTGATTTGTCCTCTATTACAATTTACGTTCGTCTACATGTCTTTCTCAATTCTGACGTGAATTAAGCATCGCTTAAATACATTCCATTCAAACTTTCATCTTTACAGCTTCTCCTTTAGATTTGCTTTACTTATAAATTTACAAGGTTGTAATAAATTCTCAGTTCTTTGAGAGCAGGCGCCTAATTAATTATTTTGCGCATTTTAAACTTCATCCCCGTGTATAAGGATAAGTTTGCCTTCGCTACTTGAACATTTCACATTGATAATCAACTTCTAATCAGTGCCTTTGATACTAAAGCTTCTTTCGCTTTTAGAATAATTTAAAATTGCAAATTTAATACAACTTGTCATATATTTTACTAATTTGTGTAAGTTAACTAAAGTCAAAGTCATTTCCTAATTCTTGTATACCTCAAAGCAGAATTTCGTGACGAAGTCCTTTGACTGTTCCTCATCTAAAGGAACTCCATTGAAACTTGCACGGGGTTTATAAAGCAGTTGGAGATATAAGCTAAGGCATTTAAAACGCGATCCGCCATTATACTATAACGTTATAAAGAAGTATTTAGTTATAAGGTAATGAAAACGTATGTATATTATTATCTGCGAGACACCTTTGAAATATGTGAAAAGGCGTTAGTGTGTTATATTCCCTGTAATCTACAAAATATAAAACGCACAATTTATTATTCGTGTCGCCTTTAGCATAGTGACAAGTATGCAAGACGTCCATACTGAAAGGATGACAATTACTCACGTATCGTATACAAGCGTACTCGTATTCTAGACGTGAAGTGGTCAATTAAAGGATGACAAAGTCGGAGGGGTTCAATGTTCATTAGATGGTGGAAGATGTGGGCCAGATGAGTGGGGTAGAAAACAATGTTATATCAATCTTGAGCGTTCTGGAGCAGAGTGTGGTCGTCTTTTTACCGTATTTTCCTCAAAGTGAAAAATCGCTTCTGGTTGCACTCGTCGTTCGTCCGTCCGTCCGCCCGTCACATGTACTACTTCTATACGACTGAACCGATTTGAGCGATAAGGGGCTCATTTGAAAGAGCTTGAAACAAGCATTCCGTGCATACAGATATTTTTGGTTTTAGCCATGCGCAGTGTCAACAATTTGGTTTAACGTATGTGGAATGCTAACTTTTTTACTTATAAAGATATTAAATGAAACTTTATATGTAAACACTATGAATGAATACATAGACACTTGGAATCAGGCTTGGAATGAAAGCAAATCTGACTCCAGTTAAAAAATTGGATTTTGAGTATGCGCTCTGCCAACTTTCTTATTTACCAAAGCATTTAAATTCCATTTTTTCTATATTTGCATACGCTCCACCATCTGGTAATATACCAACAGTGAGAAAAGTATTTCTGATACTATACGTAGTAAAATAAGTTATTTTACAATCGACAATGTATTTGTTGATACCTTTGTCCTTTAATTTAACTATATGAAAAACTGACCCGTACTCCTACTTGTATGAAACTTAACAGACTTCGACAATAGGTCGCGAGTATTGCATTTCTATTTGTATCAAAGTGATTTGTTTTGTTTTGTTTCGTTGTAAAAGATTATTTCCTAGAATTGTCAAATGTTGCGCAATTTATTGCTTATTTTTGTTATCAATTTTCGTTTTGTTAAATTATTCATGTGACAGTTCTTATTTAATTTATGAGCACTAGGATTATTTTTATAAAAGGTTGATGTAATCTATTAGCGATAAGAATGCACTTAATCGACCAAAAAGTTTGTGTCTTCGTAGAAAATTGTTAAATGAGATATATTGCTGTGTTATTTCGTCTGGCAGGACGAAATTTTGGGATGCTTAACTAGAATGGACAAGGGCGGTTTCAATGTAATAAATTTTCTTAATTTAAATTTTTGTTTTGTGTCGTTGGTTAAGTACTTCAACAGAAATTATTGTTACGAGAAAGAGGTCAAGGTTTGTATTTGTTTACATTTTAATCTCATCTTTAATTTTATTTAACTTCTGAGAATTTTATATCACTTTTATTCTGTTATCATTGTAAACGCTTAATTTAATTGGCAGGTGGATGTTATTCATCGCCTTTTCTTTGTATTTAAAAGACAGAAAATTCTATTTTTCCTAGTATTTTAATTTTGTGATGTCGGTTAAAAATTGATTATAAAAATAATTTCTACCTCGGGTTTAACGTGCGTTAGGGGGGAAATTTTCTGTTGTCAACTGCTTATCATTGGCTGTTTTAATTTGTAATTTTGGAAGAAGGGTTTCCACCTTAAATAGAACGGACTGAGAAGAGGAAGGGCTTTTCGCCACTGTCAACGCAGAACTACGTTTGTTTGAAATATTTAAATCGCTTTTTGCCAAGTTGAGAGCAGATCCACGTCTGCAGAAGTTTGAAGTTTGTTTTGGAGTTGTGAAGTTTTAATCGTCAGTTGTGTTGCCAGCCAGGGCAGTTTTTGAGTTTAGTGAAGAAATGTATTTCGCTTCGCCGAGTTACCGCCGTATTTTGTATTGTTTTTGGAAGTTTGGACCTTCAGTAAAGTGCGTCACTAAGGTGTGGTCGGCGCCGACTTAAGTGTTTTTTTTTGTGTAGTTTGAAATTTGTGGTTTTTTTTACCGAATGTAAGTAAAATTAAGTTTTAATTTTAGTCTTTTTTTTCATTGTAATAATTGCTTGTGTCTCTTGTATAATTTTCATCGTGTATGTGACAATTAAATTTGAATTTTGTAAATTTCACAATAATTTCTGTGTATGTCATTCGAACGATTTCATTTCCTTTAATTTACTGTTTTCTTTGGATACTTGCCCAAGGTCCATTTTATTTAATCAAAATTCTTAAGATAGATTTGGAATTTAAGGTATTTGGTCTAACCCACTATCTGGTAGAAGTTAATAGTTTAACTGAGAAACGAGTCGAATTCCTCCTCTGTGCTGGGGAGAAGTTTTGTTCCGAGGAAGATAAAGGTTTGAGCTAGCTAGGTTTGTTTAGGTGTTTTGTGTACGGTCTTTTTTGGTCTACGGACCGGTGCACACAGCAATATTTCCGGGTAAAATTTTGATGACTACGTGGCTCGAGGAGCATCTAGGAACGTAGTTTCTATTGCTACGTCCCGTTAATTGGATAAGGTTCTTTTCAAATGTTGAATGTGCGGTCGTACGCAACCTAACTTTTTAAATTCTGATAAAAATGAGTTGCTATAACTACAACCATTTTTATTTATTTTATTTTATTTATTTGCAAGTAATCAATTGTCAAGGTACCGTCTGTATCCGCAATTTTTTTAATTAAAAATTCAAATAACTTAAAAACCATTATAACGTAGATAGCGATTTGTGGGTATCAAAAGAACTGAAAATTTCACGTAAAATTCAAAAATAGGAGTTGTTATTAACTTCCTCAGGTATTTCCCGAAGTGCCACCATTAATATTAATATAATTTCCGATGTGGTGGGGATAAAGTGAGCAAGGAAACCAATAGATAACAATCGTCGTCAAATGCACTCCCGTCGGTGTGTGGGTTTAGTGAAAATGGCAGTTACTATGGACTAAAAAAGTCAAAATCATTAGATATAATGTGTTGCAGTACTTTATTACGGAACATGCCACCTAATACATTATAAAAATTATAAACCTCTCAGATATTATCGCAGTAATGTGCGAATTTGGTGGGAACTGAGAATACGCACTCATAATTTTGCGACAGACTTACGAACCACATTATCTAGCAATCGTAGAGCAGTTTTGTCGCCCTGTACCTTGAGGAAACCGTTCATGTAGGCGAATGATGGTTTAATGCCTAATACGAACGAATTATGGAAGATATCTGGTGCCATTGATAGATGAATGTCTGCCTTCTCTGGCGATTCGCCCACTCTAAATGCGCCTTTGCCATTTTTCAGATCAATGTATCTACAACCCAACCAAAATATTTTCATTCAACAATATCCCGGTCTTACGCTTTTTGTGGATCATCGCCGGTAATTTCAATCTGAAAGATTCGCTTTGTCTTCTTCACCAAGTCTTCGTCGAACAAGGATTCAAATTTTTCTATAATTTTACCCATTTGCACAGTCGTTTGGGATTTATCGACGTCGAGGGTTGCCTTTTGAACGATTTTTTGCACGATTGTGCCACTGTCGTCTACAAACGCGTTAAGTACCAACATGTTGACGTAACTTGGATCTACGCAATAGCTTTCTAGGTTTGTTACGCCGGTTTGTGTTAACGCTTGATCGTCAAGGAAAAATTCACCGATCGGTCTGGGTTCCCTTGTAAATATGGCGTAGGCGGCGTCTCCCATTATGGTAGCCTTACGACACACTTGTTTCGCAATGTTCGCTGCACCTTGGTCATTTTCGATAACTGAAGTTACGAGCTTAAATAATTAAGGGTACTATAATGTACTTTACCGAAACGCGGCCACAGCGCATTCACTGAAATACGGTAACCGCGGAACTCCTCTGCCATTCCAATCACACACATTGACATACCATACTTAGCTATGGCATATCCGACTCGCCCAATGAACCAACCTGTTTTTAAATTTATAGGTGGTGCAATACAAAGTACATGGGGGCTAGCGCTCTTTTTCAGATATGGAAGGCAAGTTTTTGTTCTGTCAAACGTTTGATTATTCTTTCAAAAGATATCCGATATACTTACACAAGGAACGTTCCCCGTGCGTTGACATCATTAATTAAATCGTAATCCTTCATATCTGAGTCTTGAGTATCCGTTAATGAAATTGCCGAAGCGTTATTGACTAATATATCGATTCCTCCAAATTTCTTCACTGCCATATTTACAGCACGTATCACTTGATCCTCATGACGTATGTCCATTACAACAGCAAGACCTCTTCCTCCAGCAAATTCAACTAAAATATTTCTTACGGCTTGCGCTACTCTTTACGAAATATTACGTACCATCATAAACGGTCGTATGAATCTGTGGTTTATCGGTTTTTGCCGCAATTACAACATTCGCACCATCCCTCGCCAGTCTAAGAGCAATTTCTCGACCGATACCTTGCGCTCCGCCTGTAATGAACGCAGTTTTTCCATATAGCTTCTTAACATTTTTGTCAACAATTTCAATATGTAGGTCTTCCATGCTAACCCAAATATGTTTTCTCGGCAAATGATTAGCGAACAATTGTGGCGAAGGTTTTACGTGTATATAAGTAATATGCGATAAGAGAGGTCATGATACCTATTACTTCTAATAATTGACCTGTAAAATGCAAATACGAAACGTTTCTCTAAATAATACTAATGCACACATAAAGATCAAAACTTCTCATTTATTAATCGTATTGAAAGCCCTAGCCTCTTTTAAACATTATTAATTCTTAAAATTCTTCTAAAGCACTTATTGGGGGCCCACTTTTTCGCCATAAAGCAAAATGGATCTTACGATGTTTTGTGAAGTTTTATGTTACTAATCCGTGTTGAAGGTAGTCTTCAAAATTCCACAAGAACCTTTCTCGTGCACTATACAGAGGTGTATTAATTTATTCATAATCCTCTCGTTATTATGTACGTGCTCCCCACTATTTTCTTTCTCCCTATGCATAGCTTTCGCACCCAACCCACTATACATTTTCAAATGTCCAAGCCCGAGTCCGAATTCGTTCACTCCAAGCGCCAAGCGGACCGGCGGCGTCGTCTGCAAAACCCTTCTTCCGATAATATAAATTGTAACAACCAATCATACACAGTTGACAACAATGAGAGAAACAAAACTATCCTATTACTGAACATTATTAGGCCAAAAAAATAGAGGTCGATTAATTTTTCTAAATCAATTGGTTATCAGACATTAAGAGATAAATTCAAACTTAAATCTTAGGAAAAAATAAAATTTCTTCTCTCTTAACTACAGAGAAAAGGCGATAAATCACATCAATTAAATTAAGCATTTACATTTGATAACAGATAAAGACCAAACAATATTCCCGGAAATGTCTACGTTAAATAAAATGAAATGTAAACAAAAGCAACCTTTACCGCTTTCTCGTATAACAATAATCTCCATGCCGTTACATAGACCAACGACAATTAATAAAATTTAATTATGAAAATTAATAACACAAAAAGAAGACCGCCCTTGTCTATCTTAATTAGGATGTCCGAAAAATTTCATCCTGTCAAACGAAATAATCACAGTACCTTTTATAGTCAATATTTGTGCCTTGTGGTTTTGTTTCTTTCAACTTCGCTCTAACATTTTTCGTCACTTCTTTCAATCGTTACATGTCGTGATATTTTATTTTGATATGTTTGATATGTTTGGCGTCTCACTACGTATATTCCTATTATTTACGCTACGTTAGCAGGTCGCCTATTTCGCGCGACATTAAAGCATTTCGTACTTAGATCAGGTGTAGGGTTTTTTTTTAAACTAATATCTATGAAATTTTATGTATATAGGGTGTCCAACCACGAGATGAGTCGATTATTATATTGAAAGCTAATGTGAATGCATTTTTGAATGTTTGCACATACGCGTTGTTCCTAGCGTTGTTCAATGAGCTCATTTAAGCAAAACTTTTTAGCGCATTTTCCAACCGATGTTGGAAGGCGCTATTATGGTCACATGGTCCCTCCGTCCGTTCGTCCAAGGTCTTAACTTCTCCCACAGTTTTTCAAGATATGAGTTAGTTCTTTTTTTTGGTAGCTTACAGCTCTGGCACTTCAATCAAGAAAAATCTTGACGATTAACTTGCGCATGCGCAAACTGCGCAATGTCAACTTTCTTATTTATAAAGATATTTTTGTCAAAATTTAACCAAATATTCTTCTAGTAAAGACAAGCTTATCGCATATTGTAAAAGTCAGAAGTGGGCAGAAGTGAACTTTCTTAATTATAAAGATATTCTTTTGCAATTTTAACTTAACATTCTTTTGCTAAAGACATGCATATTGCATATTGTAAAAACTACATTTGCACATGCGCAAACTATGCAATGTCATCTTCCATATTTACTTACTTAGACATTTTCGAAATTTTAACCAGAGATTCTTATTTATAGGATATTTATACCATAACTTATTTTCCTTTGTACACATACTTGATCCGTTATATGACCATTCGGGAGGTACTGAGCAATTCATGGAAAGTGTGCTAAAGTTACTCCCCTTAAGGCAAAACCTTATTAACATTTTTTTTTATATACCGGAATTACAATCTCCGTTTTGAATACCCAGAGGCGTGCGAAATCGGGCCTTTTAAAACACAAGTGCTTTAAAGGTTTCTCAGTAATACTACTGTCATATGGGGCTGAAATAAAAAATCTTCTTAGGTAACTTTCTCTACATGAAAAGATTTCTTTGGCTGGTACCTATCCTGTGTTCAAAACAAACTTGTGTAATTTAGGGTATGCTGACAAATCTGTTAGCATTGTTTGAAGTTTTGAATGAATGAAGAAGATTCAAATTACCTTTGACATTTTCTTCATTATGGCCACCATTATAGATGCAGATAAGATTTTTTTCGTAATATGCTTCTTATATTCATCCACGAAAACAACTTTTAATATTCTTTATAATAGGCTTTACTGGATTTGGATTTTGCAATGAAATAGTTTTTGGACAAAAAAAAACACAAAAATACGCCGATTTTGGTTCGAAGGGTGACATCGTTTACTTAACAATTTTAGACCCTCCTGCGGTCAACCACCTAATCAGGGTAGCCACTCCTTCAATAATTCTAAATTGAACGTTAGATCGAGTGACACATCATTGGAAAGCAGAGTTGGACTGGGTCACTGGGTCAACTGGGTCACCTGGGTCACTAAATTAAACTGGGTCACTGGGTCGCTGGGTCACGTCATACTCTTTTCAGTTAGACCCAGTGACCCAGTTTGACCCAGTGACCCAGTTTGACCCAGTGACCCAACTTGACCCAGTTTGACCCAGTTTGACCCAGTTTGACCCAGTGACCCAGTTTGACCCAGCGACCCAATTTCACCCGGGGACCCAATTCGACCCAGTCACCTAGTTTGATCGAATAACGCAGTTAAGTCAGCGCCCTCGGTTCAAGTGTACAGATTATGAAATAAATGAAATGCTGGTTTGTTGAAAATAATACTCGATTGCTTGACAACTGCCATTTCTGTGATGTTTGCTTTAATACTGCCGTAAAAAAACTTTCCATGTCCCGAATTGTATTAGAATAATGTTATTTCTTTGCTTCAGGGCTTACCAGTTTGCTTACAGGTGTTCATTCACATTTAATTTTATTCTACTAGTTAGCTTAATCCAAATAAATCTTTTCTCTAAATACTTTCATTGACTACAAACTATAAACAAATGCATTTGATTTTTTTAGGTATTAGTTCTCTTGAATGAAATTGGGCTACGTGCTTGTTGGCGAATATTATTGAGGAAGTTTTTTTTTAAATTAAAAGTTACTTGAAATTGTTTTGGATGATACCTAACAATAATTTAATTACTGGGCCACCGGGTCAAGACCGGTCACTGAGTAAAGCTGGGTCAAGATGGGTCACTGGGTCAAGCTGGGTCACCGGGTCAAGCTGGGTCACCGGGTCAAACTGGGTCACCGGGTCAAGCTGGGTCACCGGGTCAAGCTGGGTCACTGGGTCAAACCGGGTCAAGCTGGGTCAAACTGGGTCATCGGGTCAACTGGGTCACCGGGTCACTGGGTCACCGGGTCACTGGGCCAGTAAACTAACTGGGTCACCGGGTCACTGGGTCACTCTATGCTTGACCCAGTCCAACTCTGTTGGAAAGGGCTCCTAATTTTTTAAACGCCTATGGTTTAGTTTTCAAATTCGAGCGACTTTTTTCGACGATACACTTGACTGTAGGGCTCAGGTAAATACAAAAAACTATCGGCCGATTGCAAGAAAGGGAATTATAATCGAAATAAAATTATTTGCCAAATCTGGGATTAAACAAAAATTTTGGTTGCATAACCACGTATTGGATTAAAATAATCTTTCGTCAAATCGCGAAATCGGTTAATTAATCTGGAATTATACCAACAGTAACGAAAAAATGTTTTGCGAATGGTGTTCAGACACTATAACTATGATGATGTCGATTTCAAACAGCGATTTCGATTATAGAAGGCGGGAAAGGAAATGATGAACATTGTTTATCAACTCTCCGAAGTATGTCGAACACATCTGAAGGGCAAAGCCTGGTTGGTTTCCCAGGTGTTCTCAGAGCGACCGACTGCACAGACATAAAAATTCGATCATCTGGAGGACAATGTGCTGAGTGGTTCAGGAACAGAAAAGGTTACTATTCTATTAACGTGAATCCGTTTGTACTGCCAAACTTAAAATAGTAAGTATCGTCGCACAATGAGGGTGGAAAAAGGAATGGAAAGTGGAATATATAGACTGATTCATATTTGAGGGCCACCATTGCGATTTCGGAAACTGTAACAAAATTCCGTTTTGAAACTGAAAAAATTCAATTACTTTCAGAGATATCTTGAATAGGTAAAACGAAATTTTACAAAATCGTTTTTATATTTTTTACCGAAATTATTTAAAAAGATATTTCTAAATATCTAAATGAACCATTATTATGGCCAATTTTTTTCCTCTACCTGATTCTAGTTTTAAATTTTAAGTCTGACGTTTTGTCTCCGGTTAACCATCATCAAATTTGCTTTTTCTTATGGAACTCATTTTTACTTTTTATGTGATTTGATAGAGCATTTTTTTCTGATTTCAAAAATGTAAATGTCACTATTTTTTATAGGAAATGGCGCTATTAATTCGTAAAAACGCAAGAAACTACGAATATACACTACCCAAGTTAAAGTGTGGCAGGTAAAAAAGATATTTTAACAATATTTAAAAAATAGTGATGTTTACATTTTTGAAATTAAAAAAAATGCTCTATGCAATTTTTCGTTGCGTTCTGCATGAGTAAGACACAATGACATTGAAAGTAGAAGAGCTGCGCTGTATAGATATTTTATAGTTCGAGAACATAAAAACACTGGTCAATATTCAAAATAAAATAGCAAAGCTTGCATACAAAATTGACCTACAACTTTGCAACCGAATTAACAATCAGATTATCTAATAAACGTAAGGTATTCTTGTCGCCTTCGACTTCAAGTTTCCCCATCTTATAAGCGTAGGAAGGTTTAAATCCTTTCACAAACGATTCATAAAATACATCTTGTCCCATTTTTAAATGAACGTTGGCTGTTTCTGGGGATTCGCCCATTCTAAATGCACCTTTACCATTTTTCAGGTCAATATATCTGCAATACAAAGTGATTTTGATTTCCAATTTTCCTTAGGTCTTACGCTTTCTTCGGGTGATCATCTCCAGTGACCGTTATTTGAAAGACTTTCTGCGTCTTCTTTACCAAAGCTTCATCGAACAAAGATTCAAATTTTTCCAATATTTTCTCCATTTTATCCGCCGTTTCAGATTTATCCATTTCCACGGTTGTTTTGCGAATCTTTTTTTGAACGATTGTTCCACTGTCGTCAACAAACGCGTTTAGTACCAACTTGTTAACAAAACTTGGATCGACACAATAACTGTCATATCTTCGCATCCCGACTTGAGCTAAGGCTTGGTCATCAAGGAAAAATTCTCCAAATGGTCTTGGGTCCATTGTAAGAATGGCGTAAGCCGCTTCTCCCATTATTGTAGGTTTACGGCAGACTTGTTTTTCCACCATGTTCTCCTTCTCAATAACTGAAAATACGTACAAAATAAATTAATTTAGGTTAACGAATTTTGTTTTTGAAATTACCAACTCGAGGCCATAGAGCGTTAACTGAAATGCCATAACCCCGAAATTCTTCAGCCATTCCCATTACACACATTGACATGCCATATTTGGCAATGGCGTAGGCTACTCGACCCGCAAACCAAAACCCTCTTAAATTTATAGGGGGTGCGATACAAAGCACATGGGGAGTAGTGCTCTTTTTCAAGTGCGGAAGGCACATCTTCGTCCTGCAAAGTGGCTGCTTAATATTGGTCATACATGTTCCAGTACTTACACTAAAAACGTCCCCCGAGCATTAACGCTGTTAATTAAATCGTAACTGTTCATGTCTGTTTCTTCAGTATCGGCCAACGAAATTGCCGAGGCATTATTGATCAGAATATCAATCCCACCAAATGTCCTTACAGTTAGTTCCACGGCGTGCTTAACTTGATTTTCATGACGAATATCCATTAAAATAGCCAAACCTCTTCCTCCAGCTGCTTCGACTAAAAGATTTTGAAGAACTATAACTAATCTATTCCTAAATACTATTTACCCTCCTGAATGGTGGTATGAAGTGTTCCTTGCTTTGAAGGGTGTGGTTTATCGGTTTCGGCAACGATGACAATATTCGCACCATCTCTTGCCAATTTAAGGGCAATTTCTTTGCCAACACCCCTTGTGCCACCTGTAATAAATACGGTTTTTCCATAGAGTTTTTTAACACTTTTGTCAACAATTTCGATTTCTAAATCCTTCATGTTACCAGAAATGCTGTTCCTTCACAAATGATCGAAAATTTTTTTTCCCCGCTCTTTTACATGCGTGAGTTGTGCGTGATAACGAAGGTCGTGATACCGATTACTACTAATAATTGATCTGTAAAAAATCTATTGTGTATAAAATGTAATCGGAAAAATATATCCTCGATTAATTATTGTCGTATTTGCCACAATAAATGCATATTACCATGTTTAAATGGAAAGTTTGTAAATTATTTGTTGCTGTAAATTGTACAGGTACTCAATTTTTTGTAATTTTGCTCTACATTGCAATTTAGGGTTTTACAGTAGCGGTTCCTTGCACAAAATATCTTGGTCCTTGCTTTTCACTAAGCTACTTTCCCACCTGAAAGTTCCTTCGATCGTTTATATCTGTCGGTTCATCCACCTTTCCGTGTCTTAGCAATTGCTCTTCTAAGACAAAATATCAGGCTTATCTGTATTAGGGAATTTTTCGAAGGAAAAAAATTCCCCTTGTGGTGTTTAGGTCTAGACAGATCATGTTCTAATATAAACGTGACAAGAGTTTACCAGTAACCAAATTTCGAGGGTGATATTTTAGAACACTCTGTAACGCATACCCGTACAGAACAAACAGGAATTGCAAGGGCGCCAATGGCTGTCTTTTAAGATCTTGGTTTGCTTTACTAGAGAAAGATTATGACCACTCCAAGAATGAAGAAAACGACTGGAACAGGAGTACATTGTACCTTTCACATATTCGGGATAATTACAAAAAAAAATTTTCTTTCAGTAGTGGGTAGAATTTAACGTTAAAAATGATAAAGTCATAGCTGTATTTGATGGTATAGTGAGTTCAATATTAAAAAATATAATATAAATATACAGGGTCGCTATTAAAGATGGAACCAAAGCTCTCACGCATTCTTAGACTCGAGCGCACTATTTCATACCTTCGTACGTTTTGGTTGCTTGTGTGCAATGGTTCAAAAGTTGGTTTTATCATCCGTAGCTTAATACCTGGGGGGGATAGAGGTCCAGTGCATGTGGAATTCTGCTTTGGCTTAATTTTCACATACTTTCTTAACATCCTCATAAGAGATCAGATTTAGGCAGTTTCCCAATGTGTGCGCTTCTTTTTCAGAAGGGTCAGCTTTTTCGTTTACTGGTGTTCGCTATGTCCTGAAATCCACATATACATAGTTTCAAGATTTTGTAACGGTTTATTTTCTACGAAACAACCAATATTTAAGGTGGCATTTACAAAAAGTGCAAAAGTTGCCTTGCGATTTCCTCAATAACTTTGTTTCGAGGTAAAAAAATGAAGTTTTGTTAACAACCGATGGTTGCTAAAGGTTTAAGCTTGTTAATGAAGTTAAATTTGATAACAAATTATTATCAGTGTGTGATAAAAATGAAAGATATATATTTTATACGGGAATTTTTTAAGAACGTCTTTCCTAAATAACGGCGAATTAATTTTTGTTTCATGCAAATGTCGGAACATTATATATTTGAACCAATCCATTTTACCGCGCAGATCGCCGGCGCCGTGATTTGTTTGTCTACTAAAGTGTGAATCATTTCTTTGCTGTTGCGAAGAGCAAGCCCAGCGACCACCTTTGTATCCACGGTATGTGAAAAGTACTATACATCAGTTGTTTCTTATGGTCTTGGCAATGCCTGCGCGAGCTTTCGCTAAATGCAATCATGCAAAACAAGTTACTAGGACTAACACCAATGTGTACAATATTTTAGGAATCTGAATATTAATTTGCATGTTTTAATACTTTTGTATATAGGTTGTGTCACGCATACCGTTTCCTAAAAGTTTTCACGCTCTCATTGATACATTAAATTTGACAATTTTCATACCAACTTAGTTTTTATCTATTTATCGAAAAAAAATATTTTTTTCTGAAACTATACAATCAAAATTGAAAAATTATCGTATGTAATAATGAAGTGACATATAGCTATCTAGATTCGGGCGTTTTAATTTTAAATGTCATTATTAAGATTAACGCAGCAATTGTTTTTTACTTTCCTCACTAGAAAGGAAAATCGCATTATCTTCACCCTTTTTATGGACGAAAGTAGTTTCAGAAAAATTATGTGTAACACTTGAGAAGACAGTATTTTTCAACTCTCGTTCAATTGACACACTCGCTACGCTCATGTGTCAAACTTTAAACTCGGGTTGAAAAACTCCACTTTATTCTCTAATTGTACAAATAACTATATCACGATCATTTCACTTCCGGTTTTACCGGATAGCAATCCTCTTCCAAAATCAACTGATCAGTACTGATAACTTGCTATACGAGAATGGTTTAAATTTTGATCGACCTTCTACAGGGTATTTTAAAACTAATGGTCAATTTTAATAACAAATCATAAAAAGTTGATTATTTCAAATGAAACACTTTTTTGCACTTTCAATTGTCGAAAAAAATTCTACATCGATCCATTATTACATTGCCTATACCTATGCTTTACGTTTAACTATATTATGTGATCAATTCGGTGGATCCTATTATGTATTAAACCCAACGGTTACCACGTAGAAACCTCAATAATATATTTATGTTTGTTTTTTATTTAGTGTCTGTTATTAGGACCTGATCCGGTTAATATGTCACCTTTATTTACCTTTGTATTTATTAATGTAAACATGATTCTATTCATATTTTGTGATATAAACTACCATGAACAACAAATGATAACAATTATAACCATAGAAAGATTTTTCTGGCAGGATAATTATGCATAATGAGATGCCCCAACCTTAACAACGTCCTATGAATATGATTGTCGATACGAAGCACCCTATAGGTACATAATGTAGGTTACACAAGCTGCCAACAGAAATCTGGTGGGATTACAGAAAAGGGAAAGAGAGCGAAGATGAGACGGATGGAATTTCTTGGAAGACGACATGTGTTTACAATTTCAACACCTGCAGTCCATTTTTTTTCTTAGAAATGCGGGAAATGCAGGGAATGGGCGATTTTGGGGTGGTTTAGGGGTATTAGCAGATCAAATTACCGCGTGGCTTGGGTTGGTCAAATAAATAGGATTTAACATGTGTGGTCATGGTCTTTGTCTCGTAACCGGCTGAAGTGTAAAGTACGGCTTGTCTTGAAATATTTTGTGATACCTTAATCATTGCTGTGTGCTTTTGCTTTGTTATATAAGGTGAGGTATTTGCTTTATTCAATTAATCTATAAATGTGGGTAACTTGAATGCAGATTGTAACCTTTTATTTATGTACTTACTGAATTCAATCACTTGTACCTTTAATGTGTAACCTTTGTTGGTATTGGCAATCATGTTTCATTGTCGGTAGGGCTGTATCTGTGCTGTACATACTTGCATGTGTACATATTTAATTTGTGTATTGTGCTTTTTAGTCACTCTCGATTATTCCATTGCATTTCATTATATTTGTTTATTTGGGACTGTGAGTAATCAAGAGGGAAGTGTGCTTGTTTAGAGGGGATCGAGCTATTCAAGTTTATACGGCCTTGGTGAACCTAACACTAACATTTTCACTCGTTCCGAACCCAACAACTTTAGCCCTTGACTACAGGGTCTCCACTGGTCTTGGGTACTTCCCCCCGCCCGGCGAGGCATATTTGACATTTCTTAGTTTTGTCCGATGTATGTGTTGTAATACCTGGGGAATGGCTCGATCCCATTTTGGTTACTCATAGCGTGTTTGTAGTAGTTACCCCTATTTCGAGAGAGCTCAAAAGTGCTGTACATTGGATGTTGTTCATTATAGGACTACTCCGAATTAGGTTTTCCTGCAGTTTTCCTAATTCGTATGGTAAATGCCGGAGTAGTATAGAACCGCTTAAGACCCTCTGCAGGGGCACCGTTTTGGTATTAGCTGCAATATAAACTTTAATCAACTATTGCTTTTGGTGTTCCTTACCCATAAAACGCGCTCAGCGCCTGCTGAGAACCCAGTTATTACACAACATAGGTGTCCTACATGACGATCACGATCTTAGCGCACTCGGAGTGGCCCCAGAGTGACAGGTTCTCGCAGGAAGTGTAAGCGAGAATATTCAAATAGGCAGCCATGTTAGTGTGGCATTCCCGCTACTACAGAATATGGTCCAATATCCCGGTGTGACTTGAAGTTGGCATTAGCTCGCCGAGATATTAGGAGGCTAAGATCATCACAATAACGGTCATAATTTTAGAAAATCTAAAATGGCATAGAAAGTACGAGTACATACAACAGATAGGTATAGGGAATGTAATAATTGATCAAGAATTTCTTTCAACATTTGAAAGTGCCAAAAAATAAACAGGTTTCATTTGAAAAATCACCTTTTTTAGGTTTGAAGTATTTGAAATTGACCATTAGTATTATAAAACACCCTGTAGAAGGACGATCAAAATTTAAATCATTCTCATGTAGCATCAACTCAATATTGTTGATTTTGGAAGACTTTTTAAAATTCAAATGAACGGAGTCATAGGTACAAGACCTAAAAGAAAAGCAGTCAAACGTCAAAAATGTTGAAATCTCGTGAATAACTTGAAAACCTTTGAATAGAGAAATGTGATATCAAACAACTAGATTCTCCTGTAGATTTCAAAAATGCGATATATAGGGTGTTCTATTTAAAATAAGAAAGTTGCTATCCGCATTCGAAAGTGAAACGATCATGATAATACTTTCTTTCGATATATCATGAAAAACCAATGTTGGTGTGCAAATTTACAGATTTAAATTATTAATAAGCGCCTGAATACTTTGAGTTAACCGTTTGCGTGAAACAGCCTGTACTTTGACAAACTCGTAAGGCCTTGCTGCGTTTTGTAATTACTCCTGGGTACGTTAACCGGGATATTTATTTATTGAATTATTTCCGCATTTACAGCCAATGGAGTAGGTATACCGTTTTCCTCTCATAAGAAGTTGATTGCATTTTGGCGTGAAACCGAACTAATATAGCTTTGCATTGTAACAGAAAACACATTGCCGTTTGAGCTTATTTAAAGAATAATAAAGTCATCATTTTTATTATACCCTTAATTGCCTCTAACCGTTTCAAAGGAGTTTTATGACTCAAATGCAAAACGGTTCCGAAAGAACAATAACACGTTACCCTAAAGCATGAAATCAAAATTCAAAATTTATTTTCTGTAAAAGAATAATATTGTTATTAAGTTTAGACGCGTATAAATTTTATTTTTATAGGTAATAAATGTTAAATAATACGAAATATAATGTCTCTTTTATGGATTAAGAAATAAAGTGCTTATATAGTCGAAAGGTTAAATATGGAAATAATAAAATCGATAGTAGCATTAATAAAAAAAATGTTGCGAAATTAAATGAGTCAAGCCATTCTTGTTTTATAAGTCAAGTCAAGTGGATTAGTCCACTTATTGTGCACACCTAAGTTAATACATCTATAAGTCTCTCTTAGTTCATCAATGGTAATTTGTAAGTAATATGAGAATATTATTCAGAAAGATAATATATTGACTATTATAATTTACATTTTAGACGTTCACAGTCTTTGCTTTTTCATTAATTAAGCGTGGGTTCGTATCTATAAGTCATGGCGAGCAATTGTATATGTCAACGAATTTCACACATGCCATCGAAATGTGACAAGTTAATTTTCTTCAATAACGGACTAAATACCTACCTAAATTAATACTTTTAGTAATGGAAAGCGCCGTTTCTAAGTCAATCATTCATAAATCAGCTTTTTTCAACATTTAGCGCTGTAGTAGGGAAAATTCAAATTATTACCGTAGGCAACAAGCGTCGCTTTAAATTATTAATGACGCTCTTTTTTAAAGTATTTTTTAAATAGTTTCACGGTATACGTGCCATATTGTTCACCTTGCGTTAATAATTACGTAACATAATAAACCTGAATGGTATGTGTGGGTGCGTGATGGCTATAATATTTTTCAGTTGCTTCAACTAATTTTATTAAGACTAGTTATAGTGTGTTTTTGTTTCAATTAAACTAATTACTTAAACTACACTATTTTTAGGTGCTTAAACTATCGCGTAACCTCACGGTCTTTGCCCTAGTTCTGTTACATTACGGACACGTTTCAGCTAAATACAAGGCACAATTTATTGTAAAAGAACTTCCCATGCCTACTTTTGGGTTAATTTCTCATGCGGTTTCCACGGCTAAGTAAGGTTATTTTACAGACGTGACTAGAAGATAGCTAATGCTGCAATTAATTAGCGGTGCTTACCATCGAAGCCCCCTAGAAGAAATTAGGTGTAGCGGGAAGGAAGACGGTGAAATACGGAGAATAAGGTAAATTTATACTTGGGAAGGTGTTTATTCTTTAGCGTCTGAGTGATAGTGTTTATTATTTTAAAGCACTCTTGCGGATATGAATTTTCAACGCACGTACAAGTTTCTAGTAAAGTGGTAGGTATCTTGTTGTAAGTTCGATGTTGACTGCGTCTTCTTTGTAACAATAACAGCAATATGATGAACACCCGTATATTAAGTTACGATGTTCCATATATTATCCAAAAACTCTGAACTGTCGGCATTGATCTGTGTTTTAACCTCAAAAAAATTATTTAGAGATGGTGGCCAATTTAGAAATCTGTTTCGTTAGGTGATCCAATCCCCAAACTTGTCCCCCATCATATCGAGCAACGATAGATGAGCATTTTCTAATTGGAAAAACTTGCTTATTTCGCAACAAGAAAGTGCATTGATGTCACCATACTAATCAATAGAACGACATACATGCTGAATAATTATTTGACACTATCTCTCGACTCAACACACATTTATAAGTCAATTTCAGACCAACCTATATTTATGCCGCTTAACACTGCAACATTTAGCAATGAATTATCTGAAATTGGTTTACAAATCAAAGACGCAGGGCACAGATCCGTGACTACAATTGTTATACCTCACATTGTGACATTGCGGTAAACCCAAATCTCCAAATACTTTTGTCAGAATTTACACTACTCTCCCATAAATTGAATTTGGAAATTGGTATTAAAATTGGCTCAAAGAGTAGTTTTATTGAAAATTTCTGGAATTGTGGTTTCGCAAATTAGGTCGTACAAGTTTCAGCGGATTGGGGTTAAATTTATTGAAATAATAAATTAACTCTAGTTGTGGAACTTTTAAAGTCGAACGCATTTTGAAAATAATTTTAGCGGATTAATCATGGCGGTGACCTATTAAGATGAAGATCTAAAGTCGCGTCAACATCCTTCTGATTTACGCTTCAGTGAACGCCAACATTGCCGAGTTTTGTTTTCATACGCCTTTCCAATTCCATATTTTTCCTTTAAAAACCTCGCTAAAGGATGATCCATGTCAATCATTCGTAAGTAGGTATATACCTAGATTTTTTTCGTCTAGATAATCCGATCTTTACGCAGCGTTTAACTTTCGTCTTATTACGTTCACAAATTTTAGATAAGAACGTAAATTTCAGAAAAGGCTCCTTTCACTTTGACATCTCCTGTCTTATCCACACTGCTATTACAAAAAACGATTTAAAAGCACTGAAATATATAACACAGAAGGTAACTCCTATTTTTCCCAATTTTCATATGACAATTCAACTCATGTATAAAAAATCGCATAAGCCGCAGTGAAATTGTCACTTTGACAGCGGCAAAAGTTACCTGCAACTTTTCCAGCGACAAATGCACTAGTGGTTTTTTCACTTATTCATTTTCGAACCAATTATCGCATTATCCTTTCCCATATGACTAGTTTGACGTCTGTCAGTAATTGATTAGTTATGTGAATTTCTTGTTCGTTAAATTGTCCTGCCGAATTACACTCGAGGTTTGTATTTAAACCGAGTAAATTTGTGTTGTTGCAATTCAAATCTGTTGCCTTTTAGCAATTGAACTCGAAAAACTGTCAACCTAAAAATGCTCCACCTGCGGTGTCGCATTTTTATTAGTTGACAGTTTTTCTCGTCTAATTGCTAGGCAACAGATTTTCATTACCTAAACAACCCAAATTTACTCGGTAAAATACAAACCTCTTGTGCAATTATAAGTGAAAATATGTTATATGTTACCTACTTATTACAATTGAAAATAGGAATACAACACACTGCATAATGTTGGAGGGATATATACAAATACAAACAATTTTATACAACTAATTGTGATTGACTAGTGCTGACAGTAAAAAAACTCGATTCGACTCCCTTCATTTTCATCGACGAAATCTAAGTGAGTATTTTATTGACTCGCTTGAAGAAAATGTATTTTATTTTAATGTATATTTCATTAACTACTCCCTTACAACCCGTCTCAACTTTCTACGTTCAATCAAAGTAATGATCTAATTATTGCAATTAAAATACACTAGAGTGCAATAAGTCACAATTAATCAACACTTCTAGAATGAGACACGCCGTGCCCTTTCGGTCTCGGGCCCTTCAAATTATTTGATACACTTTAATTATAATCATTTAATTCAATAAGATTAATTAGAAAAAAAGAGCTTCAATTCAGAGGCGTGGTTTTATAACGTTTTTGTTCAGTCCGCACTAATGTATTTTTTTGCTCTTCGGCATTCCTTTTTTCACCTTTCCGGTAAGATATCTTTCTCATTGTGTGATATCACTTTTAAACTAGCAACAGTCGCGTCGTGTCCTGTATGGTTAATCCATCAAACTGGAAAATAACTTTTCATCTCTGAATTTTAAGAGGATCGATCAAATTAATGGTATTTCATTCAAAGTTACTCACTGTTTGAAGAGTGGTATTTGGCTCCGGTGATAGTATTTTTGAAAATCGTACTACGACTTTGAGACCCCACGTTGGATTCCAGCTATAACAGATACAATCGGCGCAAACAAAAGTACCTGTTGCTGCACCGGTCTAGCTCGTTATACTATTGACCAGAGTGCAAGATGGCAGAACAATTCTCAGGGTTAGATGAACGTAGGTGCGTAATTGACCTAGATAGAATATAAGTGAGCCCCTACATTCGAAAGTAAAAGGATAAGTTTATCTTTCATGGGACGCAGAACCCTAAAAAGGAAAAGGACCACACCAAAACAGAAAAATACACAAAATAATTCTAATACTGAACATTGGTAGAGCACAAGGTAGATGCAAAAAATAATTACCAATGTGTCCTATTAATAGTTTACAGCAAGATCTGAAAGGATCAACAATGTGCTGCAACAAGTAGGTCGGGACACACAGCAAGAAGGTCCCGTATGTTATAAAATGTTTAAGTATAATTCTACAGTACCTGTACATAGTGTGTCTCCGGATTGACTTCACTATACGGGTAATTGGTCAAACATTTTTGAACCTCGTTTTGATCTTTTGGAATCCCGGCCTGCTTAATCTGAAAAGAACTTCAAGCACATTTTTACTTTTTAAAAAGGCATTTCTCCTAAATGAGTGTAGGGTACCGATTTGTTCACCTTACCTCGGGTAGGTATCCTGCTTTTGAAAAAATGCCGAGGATGAACTTGTTTCGGGCCTTACGGTAGTGTAATTATAGTTTAACTAATTAAACAGAGTTAGCTAATTTGCCCACCTTCATAGGAAACCGAGTCGCTTCCTTTCAACACATTAATAACAAAATTGTAGAACATTTCAATAGTTCGCGTGCTAAAAATGAAAGAACAAGAACCTTAGGCGTCGACATGTTAATGAAATAGGCGATAAGGTTTGGCGCCGAAATAAAACTATACCTGATGCAACCAAAAATTACACCGCAAAATTGACACCAAAATTTCTTGGACCATTCTCTATATTTTACTTAGATTTATTTTAATATTTCATGTATTGTTTCTTTTGTACGTTATCCAATAAATGACTATTATATTATATTATATTCAAGAAGATAGGATATACAACTTGTGAACTTACCAATAACGAATGAAAATCATCCGGAACCTGATATGTTCAGGATCTAAAGCCATATATTAAATACGATGATCACGGACATTTTTTTTTGCCTGTGGGTGACAGCTTTGTCAGCTTAGTTGTTTATAGGGTGGTTGGTTAGGAGGTTTTGAAGGAAGTTACACTTGAACTTTCCATTTCCGAGTGTAATTTCCTGCTAGTCTATCTGAACCCTTACATCTTTACCTCATTCTTGTTATTTCTCTTTGAGTAGTTTTTCTTTAGTAGTACACGTCTAGCAGCTAAGTACAGGTGAGGGGGAGTTTTGTATGGGATTCTGGAAAGGGTTCTTAAGGTTTTGGCAGGGATGGGAGACAGTTATTGAAAAATGTTAGTAAAGGTGTTTTTGTGTTCCTCTTAATTTAACTTCTTCCCTAAATGTTGTTTTCGTCGTTACCATTTCCTTTAGAAGGTTCCACCATCTTGAAAGGGGGAGTAATGTCGGGTTGAGCTGAAGAAAACGTGGCCGATTCCCAAATATCAAACCCTAGGAAACGAAGAGAAGGTGCAAATACGAAGATGGTAAGATTGCACGAGTACATTGACAAACGATAACCAGTAGGCTTTAGCACCGTAACGTTTATCAACTAACGTATTACTAGAAACTGTAAGGAACGTGAGTAAATAACAAATAAGACAAAGTAGTGAGCAAGCAAAACATACCTCTTAAGGTGAATAGCGAGTTGGAAGTGACGTCGAACCACGTGGCCTCTAAGTCGCAATGCGATATTCAAAAATCCTATCACCCGAGCCGAATATCACTCTTAAAATAGTGAGTAAACTTGAATCACACCATTCATTTGGTAAATCCTTTAAAAATTCAGAGATAAACAATTATTTTTCAGTTTAATGGATTGACATACAGGACACGACGGTTGTTAATTTTAAAATGATAACACACAAGGAGAAAATATCTTATCAGAAAGGTTAAAGAAGGAATGCGAAAAGCAAATCTAACTCATAGGCAACCCAACGTACATACATCAGTGCGGAATGAACAAAACCGCTAAGCTGCTGAACTGATTCGCCAAAGTGAAACACTTAGCAAAAAATATGTGAATCGTCGATGCTACGTGAGTGCTGTAATTGTAACATCTTAAAAATCAGAAACCACACATGGTTGCGTATAATAGCCAAGGCAACCCGCTGACAAGGAGTGATGGAGATGTAAATGTTTTCAATGGTTGAATAAACCACGATTTCCGTTTTTCAATGGTTAGGTAAAGTACTTCACGTTGTTTTTGAACAAGAAATTGCCCCAAAATTAATCAACAAAAGCATAACACAACCTCCACTACATATGATATTTTAAAAACGGTTACCCCTCCCTTGTACGCATTGAAGTAGGTGGTGAAAAATACCCTGAAGGCTTAGCGTTTTCTTTGTAGAATTGGGATGCGTGTTGCAGTATTGCGTGCACTTCCACATGATGCCGCCATTATAGATTTCCCATTCAATGTTCGCATTGATAAGAAAGGTGTCGGATGCCGCTCTAGCAACTGTCATGTCCGAAGAAAGAGAGGTTCGTCGCTCCTGACTTTTAGATTTAAGCCTGAAATTTCTCTTTACACTTTGTTAACTTAGAAAGAGGATCTAAATAGTAAATCCGACCCGCGCTTCAAATTATTGCAGTTCTACATAGTCGCCAGAAACGGATATAAATAAACCCCCGTACAGTAGTATGCTGCAGAGCCACCGTTTACCTCGCAAAGGTTAAACGATTCCGAGCTGTAGACAATGGGCATAATAAAATTTTCCGAATGGGGTTTTCTCATGATACGTCGCGACATCTAGACAGGAAATGTTAAACGATTAAACGCTTTAATAAAAATGTATTCGGGATCGATTGGATCTAAAAAAATGTTAAATGAGACGGCGTGTTAATGAAAAGGTTTGCCCAAAACATTAAAAGCCAATGTAACAAAAGAAATACTCATAAAATATTTTGACAATTGCAGCAGAAGAATATTGATCACGTTACCGCTGCTAAGTCATAAATTATGACGAAACCAACTTGGCCGACGATCCAGGTAGAGTAAAAGCACTGTGTAAACGGTGGCACAAGAGGGTGGAGAGGAGTATGGATTCAAGTAAATCCAGAATATGAGTGTATCTGGAGTTTACCACCCTATGTGGTGTATAAATCAGATCATCTGAACCTAAACGTGGACAGAAGAGGGACCCGAAGGAGCTATTTACAACAAGACACAATCCGAATGGTTTGAGGGTCCTACGTTCGAGAACTGCTTTGCTGCATATTTAAAAAACTTGAGAGAGAAGACAGTTTTCTTTGGGGATAATTTGGCAAGCCACGTGTCCACACACATGGAACGTTGTTTGAAACATGACATAGATTTTGTTTTGCTACCCTCAAGTGCCACACACATTTTATAACCGTTGGACGGCGCGGTTTTTTCTCCATTTAAGAGGGGTTATCCGGATTTCCCTACACTAGGTATTTAAAAGAAGCCATTGAAAATATTACAAATTTAAAAAATAACATCATTTCTTGATTACGGACACATGCGGAATGTTTCCAAAAACCCAGATATAATTCTACGGCAGATTCGTCAGAAAACTAGGAGCGCTGGTTAAAAACCAATTCATTCAGGGAAGTAGATTGGCTACAAATTAGTACCAAGAGGCAAAAGGCTTCAAGTTGTTCTTGCTAAAGGAATAAATACCTTTGTCAAATGCATCTCTAAAAAGCATTATGCTGCAACTCTGTAATTGGGCACAATCCTGTTGAAGGGCCCAGAACAAGAGAGGGATAATAAATAAATAAATAAGTAAATAAAAAAAAATTAATAAAAAATAAGTAATTAAATAATTAAACAAATAAATAAATAAATGCTAAATACTTATACCAATCTGAGGATGACAGTGTTTATGTCAGACTTTAGTGCCGAAGATTTAGACGCTGATGAAGTCGAAGATACACAGGTTGCAACTAACGAGACTGATACCGAAAATAAAACTAAAATTAAACAAACCGAGTTTAATTTTCTGATAGAAAAAGGAACGTTTGTAGTTTTCTTGTCCAAATAATAATTTCATAGTAGTATTAGTATTTTGTTAGGTGTGTTACAGTGTTACAAATGTGATCTTGGAAACTAAACATACTTTTCCTGTGTTACTGTGTAAACTTAACACGCGTGTTACTTTACTTACTTTACTTATTAAAATTGCTATAAATAATTCTTTTGGTAAAGAAGGCTGGAAATTAAATTGCTACCGATTGAAAATTTCATATTTACTTATTGTACCAACAATTCGCCAACTGATATGTAGTAAACATTTTATAAAATCCTTCTCCATATTTTTGCACCAATGTCAGGCGATTCGACCCTTTACTCGGATACTACCCACCAATAGACATTGCATTTCCGCTGCGCCACTATTATAATTATCACGTGTGGATGGACAAACTAAATAATAGAGAGATTAACAATTTCCCAGTTAAAATATCTGTACAAGCTTAATGAACTCCCATATTGCACAACACTACGAATTTGGGTCTTATTCAGCCCGAATATGTGAACATTTCATGCATTAACGTAACCAATATTACGGAATGGAACATGCCACGTCAATCCATTCGATGCTAACAAGGTGTAACTGTAAATTAACACCTAATTGGGTACTTGATTTCAAAATGCGTTTCAAAATACAGGCAACTATGCGTAAAAGTTCACGAACGATCGAGTTTGACTTATACCTAAGGATTATAACAAAACGAACATCGAAATCATCTCAAAATTTTAATAATCGGATCAGCTAATGAGTTTACATTAAAATATTGTCTAAACAGAGTAATCCTTTATAAGAGCAGACAGGTAAGTGACAAAAGGTGACGTGATAAATGAATCGGATTTAATTCGACTCTTGAATTTTAATTGCAAGGTAACTGTTGGACAATCTTATTAGATAAACACTTTAGATATTCTAATTACATAATCTGTTTTCTATAAGTGGTGAAACACCCTTTTGAAAACCTCGTTGTGTATATCAATTATGATAAGTTACACAACCGAATACCTTCCAAGGCTTTTACACTCAATTAGATTAATTCTTCTGATTAACATTTTAGAAGTTTGATGCTTATGGGATACAATGAGGCTATAGTGGTCGTGATTATGAAATGACCCTCCAAAAGATCATTTATAACAGATGTCAATTCCAATAAAGTTCATATTGTGAAAATATGATTGATGTGTATATATTACATGAGCTGTGTTTAATTTTCATGGAATAATCAACATTATTTTGGGAATCGTTACGTTATTCAAATAAGGATGCCAATTATATTATGTATTCGTAATTCAGTATCACAAAAAAGGTATGCGTGAGGAATAGGCTAATAAACCGAATTCATTTACTAAACTTGTTGTTTTGGGACTACTACTACTACTTTAGTTATATATTGGTAAGTAGTTCAAATTTTTTTGCATGTCATGGAGGAATATCTGGTGCTTAAGAGTCCAAGTTTTCGACCTCCCAGCCCTTGTAAGTTGTGCTCCCCCGTACCACCCCTAAAACCAAAAAAATTTGGTTGGTTTTTTAGTTTTTCAATCTAATCTTTTTATAGGTTTACTTTACAAAAAAATATTTTTATTAGAATTATAGACCATCAAATTTTACACAAATTTGTTAAATGCTTCTTTTTCGTAAATTTTTTATTTCAAAAGATACAGAGATTCAAAGTGTATTTTGAAGATTCCGAAACTTGTATGTACCCGTATGTACATATTTTAAGGAAATTGTATGTTCTCTCTGTAATCATAAGATTCATATGAGAAAATACCTCGATTACAAAGTTATGGTGCTATTAATTTCCGTACCCTGCACCCCTATCAAAGGGGATAATATTGAATCACTGTGTGATTATGGCGCTTTCGAATACAATTATCACTTCATTTACTTCATTTTAACCCCTTCCATTCCCTACAAAAACGGATGAAGATGAAACTAAACTGAACTGAACTGGGACAATTTTCTTTATTTTCAAACTTCTATTAGAAAGCGCTACCATCTCACAATGATTCAAATATCCCCACTAGCAAGGGTTTAAAGGTGAATTATTACGCATCCCCTTTGGTAAGGGTGTAGGGTAAGGGGATTTATACCACGATACGTTCAAGATATTTTCTTATGAAACTCTTAATTATACAGATAAAGTATAAAATTTGGTTAAAACATCTACATAGAAATTTCAGAATTCTTAAAAATATAAGCGACTTTGAAGCTCTCCGTCTTTTTTAATAAACATTTCAAAAAAAGTAGTATGTATCAAAGTTGTGTAGAATTTTTTTGTGTCACGTGTGGATATGAACTCGGTAAATTTTAACTCTCTTCTCAATTTGGACAAGCTGAATGTTCTTTAAAATGAAAAATTTAAAAGGTGATTGTGAAAATAAAACAATTAAATTTTGTTTTCAAATAAAGTTACTACAGCCTTTCGGACCCATTTAGTGCGAATTGTGGGGTAGCAGTTTAATTCATTTTGATAAATAAGTAGTAGCCTTGAAATTCTGCGCGGCATTTCAAAATTTTGTATTTTTGTTTTGTGTGACTATGCAACCAGGTTAAGTACACAGCAAAATTATGTAAATATACCAACTAATAATAATACATTGCTGTTTTCTTATAATAATTATACAAACAACAAACAAAAATTTCTGTCAGATGTGAGAAGTAACTTTAAGAGAAGTAGAGAAACAAAGAATAGATGAATAGAGAGATAAGGAGAGAGCTAAGCACATAAATCTAAGGTGTTTCGCGGGTACACTAAGGTTTATTTATTCAAGCAGCAAAAAATGATCCAGTGCTCATCAAGCAGTTTAAATAGAAAATTGAAATGGAGCAATCGTCCTCGGAAATCGGGTCAATAAGGGTTTGTAGTTCCATTTTTGTAGAGCAACGATATTGGGAAAAGTGTTTAGCAAGATAGCACGTTTTATACCAGAAATAAGGAAGGATTCGATGCAACGCGACCGCAGATTCAAAGTTAAAAACACACCAGGACAGAAGTGAATCTGAATCAGCGGTGAGTTCAACGAAACCTTCCGGTGCTCTTTGATGTCTAGTGTGGTAGGCTTTTCCGCACCTTGATATTTCAGAAACTGCCAAGGAACAACGGTCATGTTCTTGGTACAATGAAATTCTGAAAAACATTAATCATTTGGAGATTTGTGTTTAAGTCGATTCAGTGCTTTCGTGATGCTTCGGAACCGGATTTTAGAAATAGGTAGGAGTAGGTACAGTGGAAACAAGTTTTGGTACCTTGAAATGCATTAAAATTCTCAAGGTACATTATTGTTTTGGTGATTGTTCGACATAGTTTTGGTGTACTCATGAAGTTAGCCGTAAATCTGGTTTTTCAAAAACGGCGAAGGTACAATGAAAATGAAATTTGGACAATGAGATGAGTTAGGTACATTGAATTTAGAAAATTCGCGGGGGCTAGTAATTATTATAATATTGTATTGAGAAGAAAGTGTTTCACTTTCATCTAGAGGACAAGTGAATCTAGCCTCTACATGAGGTTGTAAAAATATTGTTCACAATCATTGTAAGTCAGCTTCTTCAATGAAAAGATATTTACATAATTCTTTTACGGTAATCGCTTAGAATGTTGTGACTTGAAAAGTAGCTCCTTAAATGGTAGAGCTTGCGGCTTGTTTTATATGCCATAAAAGAAATCAATCAATAATTACCTATTTACAACGTTCATATAAGAAAAAAAACGAACCGTCTACTACAGTTGCATGCAGTTGTCACTCTTACAACTATTAATATATGTACTTGAATCGGAAATTGGTAAATACCGTTGCCTTTCCCAAATGAAAATAAATGTATATTTTATTACACCTAGCGGTTTTAATAGAGAATCTTTAAATCATTTAGACTTTATTATTCTTAGGTCATTTTCCTATGATGGCACATCTAATTCTACATAGAAATGGCGTGGCAGTTCTGCTGCTCCTTAATTATACATTTAAAGGAAGTTTATATGCCCCGTTTCGCATCACCTGTACAAAACATATTCAAAATGCCTTTAACATCTATGTTAATTCTCAGCTTGCACCGCTAATTAAACTGGAAACTATACGTTTTGATTGGTGATGCTTTCATGGCGGCGGCTACCATAAACCAATGGAATAAGCATTTTTTTTTACATAAATATTTGGAAGTGGCTACCTACAATCTACATTTTAAAGTAATTAACCCCGAATGGGAAACCAACGTAGCAAAAATTTACTAATGCGATAGATGCCCAGATAAGATTCTAGAAGTTACGTCGTAATCATAATTAAACTTCGGGTATTGTTTTTATTGTTAGGTTAACAATGGGGACTACCATTAAATATGCTAATTAATTTGTTCAGCTATACATGGTAAAATGGAATGCGTGTATGACAGTTAAAAATGATAGGAGATTATTCTGCATTTGCTCGTTTCTGTCGACCTCCGGTTTGGTTAATGTACAGTTTTAAAAAACTAGTAAGCATTTTGCTCTTGAACGTATACATTAAGGCGTTCGCACTGATTCTTACGGCTTGGGGGGGGGGGGGGGGGGGTCCTTACAATTTGTTTGGCTTATAAAATATAATTTTGAAATTGTTGTCTAAATAACATGCGAAAATCAAGTATTTCAATTAAAGTAAATTCTATAGTTTTTTTCAAGATTGAAAGCGTGTATGAGTAGTTGTGGTGAGCGGCAGAGGCGGAGGAACCGGGGGTAGATGAGGCAGTTGCCCCTCCCCCCATATTTTATACTGGGAGAGCAAAGATTGTATTTTGCCCCCCCCCCATTCAGTTGTATTTTTTAAATTTATATCTAAAATTAGTATTCTAACTAATTTTTTAATTATATTTCTTAATTCTCCGACACAAAGTAAATTTGAATCTGCCTGCTCACGCGAAAATTAATATTTTACAAATACAAAAATTGTACTGTTTAGAAGGCTATTTACTGACAGTACTGAGGATATGTGAAAAAGTAAACTATTTTGAATTAACTGTTGAAAATTATTGAAATTGAAATTGAATCACGGTGCAAAAATTCGACTCTACTCTCAGTTAACCTTCTAACAGATAGTGGATCAAACCAAATATGTACCTTAAGCTCCAAACCGAACTTCAAAATTTTGAATAATTAAAATGAACCTTGGGCAAGTAGCCAACAAAAACACAGTTGAATTAGAAAGGCGTTAGAATGAAACACACATAAATTAAGTGAAAATTACAAAAGTGCGATTTAATTCGCAACACAAGGAAAATGATACAAAAACAAACAATTATTACACAAAGACTAAAATTAAAACTTAATTACTTACATTACATGTCCGGGAATTGTAATCCAAATAGCAGATATTAGTACGCAAAACACAAAATTACAAATTTCAATTCAACGATTACACTTTGAACACACGTTGAAAACACACTCATGGGGGGCGCGACAACCTCTTGTTGAAGCTTCTTTGATGGCCAAAGCTTCAAAACGTCAAACAATAACTAGCCGCGACTTCGGCCTTCGGCTTCACAAGCGAAACTTTTTCAAACTTCAAACTCACGTTGGCCGAACTGGCCCTCACTTCAAACTAGCTGGCCGTCGTTTCAACACAAAAATCCACGATGGAAACGGCACGAAGCGAAATACTAGAGGTCGAATAATTTTACTAAACAAATTCTTATCAGACTAAAATACTAGGAAAAATAAAAAATTCATCTCTCTTAACTACACATAAAAGGGGATAAATCACATCCACCTGCCAATTAAATTAAGCATTTACGATTGATAACAGATAAAAGCAAACAAAACTCACGGAAATTCTACGTTAAATAGAATAAAAATGTAAACAAAATCAACCTTGACCGCTTTCTCGTATGACAATAGTTATTTGTACAACACTTTCAACACGTGTTGTACACGAAATTTTTTTCCATAGTGATCCATAATAACCCACAATTGAATAATTTTATTGACATTCGCGATTTACTGTCACTCAAAAGTGGATGCTATTGTTCATAGACAGGACTAAACTCAATGGAAACGCATAGTAAAAACTGTGAAAAAAAGTACCACTTTCCATATGATTTTTCGTTAAAAAAAGTCCGATAATTTCATCACTATGTAAAAAAAATAATTTCCATGTCGTTACATACACCAACGATAAAAACAAAATTTAATTATGAAGGTTAATTACATAAGAAGGAGAGGTCCATCTTAATTATGATTCCAAAATTTCATCCTGCCCAACGAAATAAACACAGCAATATTGACAGTTAGATAGTATTTTCACTGTGTATAGTGTGAATTTCAATTTGTTTATTTGCTAATTTTTCGCAGGGTTTTCACCACAGCTGAAATCTATAAATTAAAACATCCTTATAAGCGAATAGCATGGACAATTGAAGATATTTCGAAAGCTATTATCATTCATTCATTCATTTATTTTATAACTTTTTTAAATTGGCACTTTTCTCGAAAAGTAACCACCATAGCGATAAATGTCGACAGAGTTAA